CTTTACATTTAACAGGTGACAGAGGGTGAGCAGAAAAAACAACATTTCACTGTGACAGAAATCCAGGTGAGTGAAAGGACAGTTTGTCTCCCACTGAATGAATGGTCCAAATTTTAAAGTGCAAATAAGACATCATAAAATCATAAAAAAAGGAATGTTTTTTGTGTGTGTGTTTATTTCCAGTGGTCTCCTGTGCATCACACAGTAGGTTATAATACAGTATACAGTAGGATGACTGTAATATTCTCAACAGTAGTGATTAGTACTGATTTTCCAGTGTGTAGATATATCATATGTCATTTTGGTTACTACAATAAAATTTAAAGTTTGTCACATAAATAACATTTAAATAAAAATACATTTTTAGCTTTGATTACGGACTAGCTACATAGTCACGGCCCATAATATGCTGCCAAGCAGAATCGCTGCACTTACAGGGGATGACATGATTGTTTTTGGGAGTGTCAGAGCTGACAACACACAAATGTGACCTACGCTCTCAGTGCACATGACGACAGGAGAAGGTGCAGGAGGCAGCATTTTAACGCCACCGAAGGTAGTTACTACAGAATGACGAGTCACGGCTGCTTCAGTCACACACTGTAGCTTTTTTTTTGGGGGATGGTAACAATTTCAACTTCAGTCACACACTGTAGCTTTTTTTTGGGGGATGATAACAATTAAAAAAACAAGTTCTTTTTTAAAAAGATTTTCCCCCTGCTTTATAAATTTAATCTGAGAAAATATTTCTCATCCAAATAAAATGACCACAAATAAAATAAATAGATAATTTATTTTCTTAGATTCTTAGATTAAATTTTGTCCTGCATCCCCAACAATTAAAGATTTGGTAACACATTTTGGTTTCAGTAAGAGACGGAGGAGTTACATGACCAGGGCAGGGACTGTAGTTGTGCTGTTTGTTCTCCAGTCACGACACCGACACCGACACCACACAGCAGCCGCTGCCAGACATGAAAAACCACTCCACACAAAAGCAGATGTTTGATGGTGTGACGCTGGAGCCCAGAGACAGCTGGAATGTTTACCCTGTTTTCAGACGGGCAGAATGACGGGGGTGTGAAGCAGATGAGTAAATTTACATTCTCCGTTCCACTGTGGTCTTTTTACTCTTCATCTCTCTCTCACTCTTAACTCCGCCCTCCCGTCAGTAACGTGTGGAGTACCAGTCGTTGTCCGTCAGCTGCACCAGCTCGTTGACTACGTCCAGCAGGTTGTAGTTGTGTTTCTTCAGCAGCCGTTGGTTCAGTGGCCGGTCCCCGAAGCCCATCTCCACCAGCACAGCCATCATGGTGTCTTGGGTGGAAGCATCCACCGGAGGCTGCAAGGACACAGGATACAGACAAAACATTCTGAGGTGGACAACAGACAACCAGAGTGGAACTGAGAAAGTCCACATCACCCTGCTGTAACCACTGTACACCAGGGTATGACCTATGACCCTTAGAAACATCATCTGCTGACCTGTGTAGGGCCTTGTCCAGTGAACAGAGCCTTGTAGGCAGAGGCAGCTACAGACAGAGCTCCTTTGACCAGACCGCTGGTGATTCCAGGATGTCTGAGGAGAAACAACAGGAACCATGAAACCAAAAGGTAACAAGTGCTGAACTGAAAACAGAACAAACAATTAGCTCTGGTGTCTGTTCCAGGACTGTTGTAGCTAACGTTAGCTCTGGTGTCTGTACCAGGACTGTTGTAGCTAACGTTAGCTCTGGTGTCTGTACCAGGACTGTTGTAGCTAACGTTAGCTCTGGTGTCTGTTCCAGGACTGTTGTAGCTAACGTTAGCTCTGGTGTCTGTTCCAGGACTGTTGTAGCTAACGTTAGCTCTGGTGTCTGTTCCAGGACTGTTGTAGCTAACGTTAGCTCTGGTGTCTGTACCAGGACTGTTGTAGCTAACGTTAGCTCTGGTGTCTGTACCAGGACTGTTGTAGCTAACGTTAGCTCTGGTGTCTGTACCAGGACTGTTGTAGCTAACGTTAGCTTCGGTCCAACAGGTTTAATGTCTGGAGAACCAGCTCCTGGTTTTCAACATTGGTGTAGAGAACAGCAAGAGTAAGAATCTGTGTGTGAGAATGGGAGACACCTGGGATCATCTGAGTTGACGTCCGTACACTCAGCATCTTCAGCATCATCACTCTGAGTCCGTTCAGGACCAGAGGCTGCAGGAAAATAAGGACGACATTATAAGAAGCTAAAGGCTAAGGATCAATGGGTGGCAGGACGCTCGTGTGTGTGTGTGTGTGTGTGTTTGAGTGTGTGTTTGTCTCAGAATCCCCTACCAGCCTCAGTTTGATACAAGTCTGATCCTTCAGCTCCTTCCTCAGTGTCAGCAGCAGTTTCTCTGCTGTTCTCTGAGCTGAATTTAAAGAAAGACACATCAACATATGGACGGACAGCTGCGCTCATTAGTTGGTGAATTGTTTTTAAGTTCTACTCTACACTTTGCTGCTTTAGTCAACGTTCAGTTTCCAGTTGGTTAGGATTATTGAGAGAGGAGGTGCAGGTGTTCTTCGACATTCACACTCACCCCGGTGGCACGGCGGCCTTGGGTGGTGTCACTACCTCGGGAGTCAGCGGCTCGTCGTCCAGCGTCTGAGACGTACACAGCATGTCGTTGGCGCTGCTGGTTCCTGACAGCTCTGTGGCTGGTCCCGCAGCCGC